CGATCTGCGAGACTGTCGTCACTTTCGAGGGCTGCTGGGGGGCCCAGCGGAGTGACGCCCTACGGGGATTCAGATTAGACCTCGCCATCCCTGGGGGGCTGCGATCTGTGAAACTGTCGCCACTTTCGAGGCTGCTGGGGGGCCCAGCGGAGTGGCCCTACGGGGATTCAGATTAGACCTCGCCATCCCTGGGGGGCTGCGATCTGTGAAACTGTCGCCACTTTCGAGGCCTGCTGGGGGGCCCAGCGGAGTGACGACGGGGATTCAGATTAGACCTCGCCATCCCTGGGGGGCTGCGATCTGTGAAACTGTCGCCACTTTCGAGGCTGCTGGGGGGCCCAGCGGAGTGACGCCCTACGGGGATTCAGATTAGACCTCGCCATCCCTGGGGGGCTGCGATCTGTGAAACTGTCGCCACTTTCGAGGGCTGCTGGGGGGCCCAGCGGAGTGACGCCCTACGGGGACTCAGATTAGACCTCGCCATCCCTGGGGGGCTGCGATCTGTGAAACTGTCGCCACTTTCGAGGGCTGCTGGGGGGCCCAGCAGAGTGACGCCCTACGGGGATTCAGATTAGACCTCGCCATTCCTGGGGGGCTGCGATCTGTGAAACTGTCGCCACTTTCGAGGGCTGCTGGGGGGCCCAGCGGAGTGACGCCCTACGGGGATTCAGATTAGACCTCGCCATCCCTGGGGGGCTGCGATCTGTGAAACTGTCGCCACTTTCGAAGGCTGCGTGGGGGGCCCAGCGGAGTGACGCCCTACGGGGATACAGTTTAGACCTCGCCATCCCTGGGGGGCTGCGATCTGTGAAACTGTCGCCACTTTCGAAGGCTGCTGGGGGGCCAGCGGAGTGACGTCCTACGGGGACTCAGATTAGACCTCGCCAGCGCTGGGGGGCTACGATCTGTGAAACTGTCGCCACTTTCGAGGGCTGCTGTGGGGCCCATGAAACTGTCGCCACTTTCGAGACCTGCTGCGGGGTCCAGCATAGTGACGTCCTACGCGGACGCAGATTGGACCCGTCATTCTACTTCGATTATCCCGCATCTGCGATCGACTGTATGTGTGCGAGGAACTAGACATGGAGTGGTCTGGCACTGACTGACGTCAAATCGTTGTGTGCCAGTGTCTCCTGGGGTGTTGCCTGATGTGGATGCAGCTCGTCGGCGCTGCGACTCGAGCTGGCGGTCGTCCTTCGGACCCGCAGAAACATCTGCTGAGCTCGATGAGCTAGGGGAACTACAGGAAAGAAGTGCAGGAAACGGAGGCCGGTCATGCACTCGCCGATACCTCGTTGCTCTGTCATCGTCTTTGCTGTTGCATGATCCTTATCTGGCCTGCCGGCGCCGCGGCTCGAGCTGGCGGTCGCCCTTCGGGCCCGCGGGAACATCTTCTGAGACAAGTGGGCGCCGCCGCCTTACTTGCAGGCAGCGCATTGCATTCGCGGACAGCAGCATGGCAGACCGCAGTGAGATCCTCAGTCGCGTGGTGTTGCCAAGCCTGGTGGAGACGCGCGTGATCGACCTGAAGTCCCAATCGCGCGTGCACTGTACCTGCGTGGCGTTCAGGCACGCGCGTGATGCTGCTCGCTCCGCGTTCAACCAGTACGTCGCCAGTGCAACTTTGGACGATGGACAACCGATTGATGATGCGCGACCCCGGCCTTGAGTTTCTTTCCCGCGGGCCGCCCGCAGACCTGGCGGCGCGCCTGCGAGCGTTCAGCTCCCGCGCTGAAATGTGCGGGAAGGAGGCGGAGAAGCTAGCGGGCGAGCTACGCCTCGCTCGTTCCTTGCACTCTAAACAAGTTTTATCATGTGGAACTCTGCGACGACATGGCGCAGGCAGCGCTGCGGGTTTAGCTCGCGCTTGAAAAACGCGGCAGTCTTCTGTCTCCTCCCGCCACTTTCATCGTCGTCCTATTCCCCGCCCCACATTCTCCATGCATGCTGCTGCTTCCGCGATGGCCTTTCGCCCCCCCCCCCGCCCTCCATTCCATCCCTCTCCTACCCTTCGTTCCCGTGCCCGTTCTTCTTCGATCCTGGGGCCTCAAGCCTCGTTCTTTCGATCGTCGTCCTGTGAATCGTGCAGCGCATGCGCAGCCCATGTAGCTTGCACAGCAAATCGCCGCGTCTACACTGTCGTTGTTCCTGCTAATGTTGGCATACTCCTCTTGCCATTTGATGCGCGTGGGTTGGGAACGTCGCAGGGTAATTTTTCCCAGTTCGGCCTCCGGTCTACTCTTGCACAACAGACCACAATTCAGACCCCCTCACCTCCCCCCAATTACCTTGTGACGTACCCAACCCATTTGTATCAATGGAAACGAGGAGTTGGCCGAGCCTTGCATGGACAATCAACTTGATGTGTGAGCTACTTGGGACACGCGCCTATGGCATGATGCGCGGGAGAACCATACAAGAACGAGGGGCGACAGCTACAGGCTCGAAGAGGGCATGGGGAGTCGGGAGCGCAGAGCAGGAGAAAAACGTGCGGGAAACCGAACCATCAGCACGGCAGCAGCAGAGGGAAGGTGACTGCAGGAGGAGAACAAGGACGAAAGCGGCGTCTAATGTGAGTCTGCGGTGGGCACCCACTGTGCTGTGCCCCTCAGCAGCCTCGAAAGTGGCGACAGCTTCACAGATCGCAGCCCCCCAGGGATGGCGAGGTCGAATTTGAATTTGCGGTGGGTACCCACTGTGCTGGGCCCCTCAGCGGCCCTCGAAAGTGGCGACAGTTTCGCAGATCGCCGCCCCCCAGGGATGGCGAGGTCTAAATTGAGTCCGCGGTGGGCACCCACTGCGCTGGGCCCCCCAGCAGGCCTCGAAAGTGGCGACAGTTTCGCATATCGCAGCCCCCCAGAGACGGCGAGGTCTAATTTGAGTCTGCGGTGGGTACCCATTGTGTTGGGCCCCTTCAGCAGGCCCCGAAAGTGACGACATTTTCACAGATCGCAGCACCCCAGGGATTGCGAGGTCTAATTTGACTCTGCGGTGAGTACCCACTGTGCTGGGCCCCACAGCAGGCCTCGAAGGTGGCGACAGTTTCACAGATCGCAGCCCCCCAGGGATGGCGAGGTCTAGTTTGAGTCCGCGGTGAGTACCCACTGTGCTGGGCCCCCCAGCAGGCCTCGAAAGTGGCGACAATTTCACAGATCGCAGCCCCCAGGGGTGGCGAGGTCTAATTTGAGTCCGCGGTGGGTACCCACTGTGCTGGGCCCCCCCAGCAGGCCTCGAAGGTGGCGACAGTGTGCTGGGCCCCCCAGCAGGCCTCGAAAGTGGCGACAGTTTCACAGATCGCAGCCCCCCAGGGATGGCGAGGTCTACTTTGAGTCCGCGGTGGGTACCCACTGTGCTGGGCCCCCCAGCAGTCCTCGAAAGTGGCGACAGTTTCACAGATCGCAGCCCCCCAGGGATGGCGAGGTCCATTTGAATCCGCCGTGGGTACCCACTGTGCTGGGCCCCCCAGCAGCCCTCGAAAGTGGCGACAGTTTCACAGATCGCAGCCCCCCAGGGATGGCGAGGTCCCATTTGAGTCCGCCGTGGGTACCCACTGTGCTGGGCCCCCCAGCAGGCCTCGAAAGTGGCGACAGTTTCACAGATCGCAGCCCCCCAGGGATGGCGAGGTCTAATTTGAGTCCGCCGTGGGTGCCCACTGCGCTGGGCCCCCCAGCAGGCCTCGAAAGTGGCGACAGTTTCACAGATCGCAGCCCCCCAGGGATGGCGAGGTCAAATTTGAATCCGCCGTGGGCCACTGTGCTGGGCCCCCCAGCAGGCCTCGAAAGTGGCGACAGTTTCACAGATCGCAGCCCCCCAGGGATGGCGAGGTCGATTAGAGTCCGCCGTGGGTACCCTCTGTGCTGGGCCCCCCAGCAGCCCTCGAAAGTGGCGACAGTTTCACAGATCGCAGCCCCCCATGGATGGCGAGGTCTAATTTGAATCCGCCGTGGGTGCCCACTGTGCTGGGCCCCCCAGCAGCCTTCGAAAGTGGCGACAGTTTCATAGATCGCAGCCCCCCAGGGATGGCGAGGTGTAATTTGAATCCGCCGTGGGTACCCACTGTGCTGGGCCCCCCAGCAGGCCTCGAAGGTGGCGACAGTTTCACAGATCGCAGCCCCCCAGGGATGGCGAGGTCTAATTTGAATCCGCCGTGGGTACCCATTGTGCTGGGCCCCCCAGCAGCCTTCGAAAGTGCCGCCGTGGGTACCCACTGTGCTGGGCCCCCCAGCAGCCTTCGAAAGTGGCGACAGCTTCACAGATCGCAGCCCCCCAGCAACCCTCGAAACGCATCGACGAGCCAGGTAAAAGGCAGAGGGGTGAGAGAGGGACGGGAAGGAAGGAAGGAAGGAAGGAAGGAAGGAAGGTTCGCGCGAGCAGTGCTCTACTCAAAACGAGAACCCACCCAACGCAGGAGGGTTGGGAAAAACCCAGGAAACTTGTGAGCAAATCGTTGAACACCGAAAGGAAGTTAATGATTTCTGCGTTTCCGCACTTCCTCTTCTATACGATTCCAAGGCTTGCGCAGGGCCTTCAAGGAAGTCCCTGGACGCAAGAAGCGACCAAAATGATATTACACGAGTTGGCCGATCAAGCCTAGCTAGAACTTGAGCGCGCGCGAAGCGCGCGCGAGGGTTCTAGTACCCTAATATCCTTAGTGTTTGTCGGATGTTCTTGTGCATCCTGGGGGAGAGTACCTTCGAATTTTCTTCAGTTTGGCTGGCACAGAGTCTCATGTTCTGGAAGCGCGGTCTTCTGTCCCAGGTCCGACCGCAGTGGGGCGCACCTGCCTGGCGGACCTTCGAGGTCGGAGTTTTTGGGGCGTCGGCGCGCCGTCGAACGCTGCGCCTGCGCCCTTAGCTGCCTCGATACGCCCGTTTTGAAACGAAACACGTGCCGTGTTCAAGCCGTCCGTGTTAAAACACGCTGCGCGTTGGCTCAACGTGTTGGCCCACATGCTGGCGAACGCATCGCGCCAGACGTACGTTTTCAGTCTACGTGTTGAGCTCCGTCTCAACACGCTATATGCTGCGCGTTGCGTAACAGGGCAGCTCAGTTGCGTATTCTGGGCTCATCCGGCCGAGTTCGGCCCAGTCCCGCTCAATCCAGCTTAATCTGGCTTTATCCCGGGCTCCATGCGGCCTAATTCGCGCCCTCATCGGGCTCAGTCGCCCTTCCTCGTTCCGTAGCGAAAGCCTCCCGGGAGTTGCCTCCTATGCTGCGCCTGCGCCCCCCCTGCGGCCCCGGGCCGCCCAGGTCGAGAAGTCCGGCAAGCAGGCCTCCAAGGCGGACCGGGGCGGCGGCGCCGCGGTGCCTCGCTCGCGGCGGGCCCCGCCTCTCTGCACGGGCCCCCCGTGGGCGCGGGGGCGCCCTGCTGTGGGCGTGCATCGCCCGGGCACGCGTGCGGCCAAGACGCACGGCACCTCTCGGACGTGCGCGTTTTTCGTGGCGAGGCTGGCTCTCGTCGAGCGCGTTCCACTATGTCTCTCTCTCATATGTATACGTATACATACCTATTCTCGCAATGTGCCAACTCGCAAACGTCCGGAAAGCATGTGTGTGCCTCGATGTAATATTTGGTGAATCCCCCACGGCAGATCCAGGCCATTTGCGAGTGGTTACTTTGCGAGTAGGCGCCAGAATGTTTGGACAATCTTGGAAAATCATTCGGGCGGGTCTGGGACGAGGCGTTCCAGAGCGTTCTGGAACGTTTTCGGAGCGTTCCAGAACGCTCTTGGAGCGTTACGGAACGCTCTGATAAGGCTGCGGCGCCCGAGACATCCTCCAGAGCCACCGGATCGCAGAGATTCTTGGTTTACTCACCCGATTTCATCCTCGTCCTGGCTTCGACTTAATCTTGAGCCATCTTGAGAGACTAAGCGCTCGCGAAACCCGACAGTGCAGGGCGAACGGACGTCGGAGCGATGGCAAGAACGCTGAAATATGGTGGGGGTAATGGGCGTGGTTGGGTGGGGGATGGCGGGAGGCAGGGAGGGGGCCGTAAGGGTGGTATCTTTGTATAGGTGGCTTGTGTGTTTTCCTGCTTTCTCTCTCCCTTGCTCTCTCTCTCTCTCTCTCTGTCTCTCTCTCTCTCTCTCCCTCTGTCTCTCTCTTTCTCTAGCCCTCTGTCTCTCTATTGAATTTTGGATTTTGATTTGATATCAGGAAAAATTGGCAGGACTCCGCATCAAGAGGATTTCTATTGGAATCTCATTGGCTTTAATAGGATTTCAATCGGAAGAGAGCGGATCCCGAAACCACAGAATTTCTATTTGGATTCTAACCAGACTCCACTTGGATGTCTATAGAAATGGGACGTATTGTGCATCAAGAGGATTTCTATAGGATTCTATTTGGGTTCTAGTATGATTTCAACAGGGTAACAGCGGATCCCAAATCCAGAGGATTCTATTTGGATTCTTATTCGATTCCAAGCGGAGTTCATTAGCAATGTGACGGAGTCCGCATCAAGAGGACTTCTATTGGATTCTAAGTCGATTCTCATAGGGTTTTAGTTGGGCAAGAGCGGGTCCCAGATCCAGACGATTTGCATTTGGATTAATATTCGATCCCAACTGGATGTCAATAGAAATGGCACGGATTCCGCATCCAGAGGATTTCCATTGGATTCTATTTCGATTCCCTCGGATCTCATAGGAAGACTGTATGTGGTTCCATCTTTTTGCAACAACGGAATAAAACAGGTTGTGCTGTACACCGTAGGCACGCTAACGGTGGTGTAGGTAACGGCGATGTAGGTTTCGGTGTTGTAGGTGGTGGTGGTTCGCGGCCAACCAAATGTAGGAACGCGTGGCTCGTGGTTTCCTGCAATTCTCCGTGCCGTCGTTGCTCGATACACTCGCGCGTTTGATATGTAGGAACGTGTGGTTCGCGATCCCTTGCAATTCGTTCTGCGCGAGTTCGGCGCCGCAGAGTCCATATTCCCAACATCGCCGCTCGCCAGCATCGCCGTTAGCGTGGCCTTGGAACAGACGATATTCGTTTCATGTTTCTGCAGCCACTAATCGACGCGGTGATTTCCAATCTTGTTGGTTCCAAATCAGTAGAGTTTTGTGCCCCCCGGAAATTTTCATGGATCAATCAACGCATTCCTTGTGTGTTACATCGTTCCCTGGGGAAATCTCATAAACACGGGGTGATTGCGAAATGCTTGATGGTTGGGTTTACGGGAACGTGGTGTTTTTTTTCCGCCACCGTGCCGCAGGGCGCGAACTGGAGTTTTCTCCAGGTCCTCATGTGTCCTCGGTTGTCTGTATTCCGGACGCTGGGTTATAGTATTCTAGGGGCTGTGGCCTCAAAACCCCCAAAAAGTATCCTGGGCGTTCCCGCGCGCTCTTGGAGGGCTGCCCCACATGTCATGTCCAGAGGCCAGCGGGCCCCAAGACGGGCCAAGAGGGCTCCAGAAAGCGCACAAGATGGTTGCTACGTTATTCATGCCGGTGCCATTTACTCTTCGAGGGCCCATGAGTCAGGTAAAAGCTGCGTGTATCTTCCCAGAAAGAAGGCCATCACGTTTCGTTTCTCAGAGTTCGCATTCATTCCCGAGTAGACTTGGTGTGCCACCGTCGACTGAGATTGGTAGCGGGTCCAGTGATTCACCTCGCCGGCTCCCCCGCTTCCAGCCGCCATGCCACCGCCGGCGCCAGGCGCCGCCGCGGCAGCTCCCCCCTCGCCCCAGGCGAAGAGGGGAGCCGGTGGCTCCAACGGGGGCAACGGAGGCGCGGCCGCAGCGGCTGCCGCCGTAGAGGCCAGGCCAGCCCGTTCGCAGCATGGCCCGGCAACAGGGGCGAATATCCCGGGTAGTGTAAGCGATGCTGACTATGCTGAGCACGACGTCGCATGAGAGGACGACGCGTGGGGCCGCTGGCGCGGGAGCTGCTGGCAGGAGTCTGCCGGCAACAGCTGGGACGAGGTACGTGGCTTGGATGCAGGCCCAAGCAAGACAGCTCCGAACCTCGAAATGCCGAAGAAATAAGGATACAGAGTGTTCCAACGCAAGCCCCAGGTCTTCAAGAGATGCTGCCGCAAAGAAGGCGTCAAGGCGTTGATCTGATTATTCCCCACATGCTTCGTGGGGTTCTGGTTTTCTTCCCTGCCGCGCCGCACCCGCGACACTCACCTCACTTCGTGGGGTTCTGGTTCCCCACATGTTTCGTGGGGTTCTGGTTTTCTTCCCTGCCGCGGCGCACCCGCGTCTCACCTCACCTCACACCTCATCTCCTCTCTCCTCCCCTCCTCACAGCACAGCACAGCTCAGCTCAGCTCAGCACAGCACAGCACATCACAGCTCACCACAGCACACAGCACAGCGCAGCACAGCACAGCACATCACAACAGAGCACAGCTCAGCACAGCACAGCACACCGCAGCACAGACAACACAGGCAGTGGCACTTTCTCGACACCACAGGGGGTGCGCAGAGGGTGGTCCCTCAGCGCGGCCTCTATCCGTGACACGCTCGCAGATCGTGGCCACTTTCTCGACACCACAGGGGTGCGCAGAGGGTGGTCCCTCAGCGCGGCCTCTATCCGTGACACGCTCGCAGATCGTTCGTAGTGGCACTTTCTCGACACCACAGGGGGTGCGCAGAGGGTGGTCCCTCAGCGCGGCCTCTATCCGTGACACGCTCGCAGATCCGTGGCAGCTCTGGCACGTGACACGCTCGCAGATCGTGGCAGGAGTGGCACTTTCTCGACGCCACAGGGGGTGCGCAGAGGGTGGTCCCTCAGCGCGGCCTCTATCCGTGACACGCTCGCAGATCGTGGCAGGAGTGGCACTTTCTCGACACCACAGGGGGTGCGCAGAGGGTGGTCCCTCAGCGCGGCCTCTATCCGTGACACGCTCGCAGATCGTGGCAAGAGTGGCACTTTCTCGACACCACAGGGGTGCGCAGAGGGTGGTCCCCCAGCGCGGCCTCTATCCGTGACACGCTCGCAGATCGTGGCAGGAGTGGCACTTTCTCGACACCACAGGGGGTGCGCAGAGGGTGGTCCCTCAGCGCGGCCTCTATCCGTGACACGCTCGCAGATCGTGGCAGGAGTGGCACTTTCTCGACACCACAGGGGGTGCGCAGAGGGTGGTCCCTCAGCGCGGCCTCTATCCGTGACACGCTCGCAGATCGTGGCAGGAGTGGCACTTTCTCGACACCACAAGGGGTGCGCGTGGTCCCTCAGCGCGGCCTCTATCCGTGACACGCTCGCAGATCGTGGCAGGAGTGGCACTTTCTCGACACCACAGGGGGTGCGCAGAGGGTGGTCCCTCAGCGCGGCCTCTATCCGTGACACGCTCGCAGATCGTGGCAGGAGTGGCACTTTCTCGACACCACAGGGGGTGCGCAGAGGGTGGTCCCTCAGCGCTGCCTCTATCCGTGACACGCTCGCAGATCGTGGCAGGAGTAGTACTTTCTCGACACCACAGGGGGTGCGCAGAGGGTGGTCCCCAGCGCGGCCTCTATCCGTGACACGCTCGCAGATCGTGGCAGGAGTGGCACTTTCTCGGCACCACAGGGGGTGCGAAGAGGGTGGTCCCTCAGCGCGGCCTCTATTCGTGACGCGCTCGCAGATCGTGGCAGGAGTGGCACTTTCTCGACACCTCAGGGGGTGCGCCGAGGGTGGTCCGTCAGCGCGGCCGCTATGCACGACGGTCGTCCAGGGCATAGCAGGCGTGGCACTTCCCCGACGCCACAGAGAGTACGCAGGGGGGGGTCCCTCACCGCGGCCGCTATGCACGACGGTCGTCCAGGGCATAGCAGGCGCGGCATTTTCTCGACACCATAGAGGCTGCGCAGGGGGTGGTCCCTCACCGCGGCCGCTATGCACGACGGTCGTCCAGGACATAGCAGGCGTGGCACTTTCTCGACACCGCAGGGGGTGCGCAGAGGGTGGTCCCTCAGCGCGGCCTCTATCCGTGACACGCTCGCAGATCGTGGCAGGAGTAGTACTTTCTCGACACCACAGGGGGTGCGCAGCGGGTGGTCCCTCAGCGCGGCCTCTATCCGTGACACGCTCGCAGATCGCGGCAGGAGTGGCACCTTCTCGACGCCACAGGGGGTGCGCAGAGGGTGGTCCCTCAGCGCGGCCTCTATCCGTGACACGCTCGCAGATCGTGGCAGGAGTGGCACTTTCTCGACACCACAGGGGGTGCGCAGAGGGTGGTCCCTCAGCGCGGCCTCTATCCGTGACACGCTCGCAGATCGTGGCAGGAGTGGCACTTTCTCGACACCACAGGGGGTGCGCAGAGGGTGGTCCCTCAGCGCGGCCTCTATCCGTGACACGCTCGCAGATCGTGGC